TAGGAGGCAAAGGGTATTTATAGAGGTCTAAATAAAGGCATGTACATATGTAAATATATTTATATATGAGGATAGGGAAATAGATCTATGTGCATATATTTATAGGTTTAGTATTAAGGTAGCAGGTGGACATTGGGCCTCCACTCAAGTACTCCCTCAATGCAAGAATACTTTGTTCTATTAAATTGACATTCCATGATGCTCACCTTCCCAACATGACCGCTGAAGACAAAGCGGGTACATAAGCAAGTGTGGTGAAGAAAGCTGATGGAGCCCACCTATCAAAAGATATAGCATCTAGGGTCTTAAAGACTTGAAGGTAAACAACCGGCCATCTAACTCAGAAGCAACAAAGTCCACATGGACGAAGCACACCAACCTGTGTGATCATGAGGTATTGAAGGGATCAGGTATCAGACATCAAAGAACAAAAAATCATACCACAGTCTGCTCACCTTCCCAATACAATCACTGAAAACAAATGGGTGCATAAGCAAAAGTGGCGAAGAAAGCTGATGGAGCCAGGGTATCAAAAGATATAGCATTTAGGGTCTTAAAGGCTTGAAGTTAAACAAGTGGTCATCTAGCTCAGTGGCCACAAAGCCCACATGGAAGAAGCATACCAGCATGTGTGATCAGGAGGAGTCAAAGGGATCACATATCAGGCATCAAAGAACAAAAAATCAAATCATTGTGAATGATGGGGTGTACAGATTGGGGTCCCAAGACCCATCTGTAGGCAACTGGATATTCCATTACAGAAGTGTCGCGGGGAAGAGACTAGTCAGTCAGGGAACAGTGTAGCAACGATTAAACATACAACTTTCCTCTAGTTCCTAAATGCTTCCTCCCTGCCCCCCACCCCCCAACCCCGTGTTAGTCTGTGTACATTAGAGAAACAAATCCACAGAAACTCATATGTATAAGAGAGAATTTTATATAATGGGTAAGTGCACATCAAGAAACATCCCAACCCAGTGCTGTCCAAGCCCACAAGCCCAACATTAACCCATATGTCTGACACCAATCCACAAAGTCCTCCTCCATCTCACAAAACACATACTATGATGCCAAATGCAGGAGGAAAGCTAAATCAATGAACCTGTAAGCATCTCAGCATGGGCAGGGGTCCCTACACGGCTGCTCCAGCACCCAGGGCTTCATCGGGGTAGGTCCATGTGGCTTCCCCTCGTGGATGTCTTGCAGGAAGTGAGCCTTGCCAGCTGAAGCAGGGAACTGGCTAAGGCAACTATACAGTGGTCCAATCATCACAAAGCAAAAGACATGAGAACTAGAAAGGGGAGGCTCATGGAGCCATTTATCCCTACACCCTTCAATTAACCCCACATGTGTTTATCAGCCAGGTTGGCACAATAAACTTTAACTATCTCACCCCCACACTATCATGATCCTAATTCTACCTTACAAATCTGGCTAGACCAGATGATATACACTGGTACAGATAGGAACTAGAAACACAGGAAATCCAGGACGGACAATCCCTTCAGGAACAGTGGTGAGAGTGGTGATACTGGTAGGGTGGAGGGAGGGTAGGGTAGAAAGGGGAAACTGATTACAAGGATCTACATATAACCTCTTCCCTGGGGGATGGACAACAGAAAAGTGGGTGAAGGGAGACATCAGACAGTGTAAGATTTTACAAAGTAATAATAATTTATAAATTATAAAGGGTTCATGAGGGAGAGGGCAGCGGGGAGGGAGGGAAAAAGATGAATAGCTGATACCAAGGGCTCAAGCAGAAAGCAAATGTTTTGAGAATGCTAATTGCAACAGATGTACAAATGTGCTTGACACAATGGGTGGATGTATGTATTATGATAAGAATTGTATGAGCCCCCAATAAAATGATTAAAAAATAAATAAGTTTTATGAAAGACATCTTCCTTGTCAACAATGAGAGTAGGGATTCAGGAAACTAGCTCGGAGGTTCACTAAGTCTGCATCCACCAGGAAAAGTCCTTCCAAATGAAGTGATCCTGGAAAACTGGTTCTGGTTTGAGTCGGCTTCAGGATATTAAATACCATTTCTGAAAGTCAGAACTCTACCTGTTATTACATCTCCATGTTCTTAAATTGTGGCTCAGTTACAGAATGTGCTCTATTATAATTTGGTTATTAGATTTATGTGTCAATCATACACAGAACTATACACTGCTCTTATTCTCAATTCCTTTCCAATGTTCCTTCATACATCAACACAGTCAATTGAATGAATGATTTCTGAGGAAAAGAAATATTAGATCAAATAATTCTTTTCATTGGTGATAAATCAGAATTACAAGGAAAATTTTGAAAATTTTATATTCCATTGGTAAACTAATTATCTTGGATATTATGTAGGATAAGTCTACCATATCTTCTGATATAATTTGCCTCTTTATATCATTTCATTTTAGTAAAAGCTAGACATTTCTTTATGAAATGCCAGAGAAATTAACACTTAAATACGACAATGAATTAAATGTAAAAAGAAATTCTTACCAAATTCCTTTGGTACAGTTATCGAATAGAGGCAGATTTGACCAGCTGTGTAATTATGAGGGTAGTTTGGGGACAAAACAACTCCTTCTGATCCAGTGTATTGGCCTCCACAGGGAGCTGAAAACAAAATCAACCAAACATTATGTGCTTGCTCTCCTAAGACTGCATGTAATAGATACCTCTCCTATAGTTTAAAAGCATTGCATAAAAAAGACCAGCATGCCATTCTTAACTAAAATCTTGACATATTAATGTTTAAAATTTGTTTGGCATTGCAATCAAAAGTAATGAAAAAAAGGAAAACAAAGATTTACTGGGTTAAAATAAAAATGATTCAACTCATGAGGGCCAATATTATTTTTGAGAACTCTCTCGGGCATACTAAAATAATAACAAACTTTATGATGGCATAAAGACAAATCAAGAAATTATCTTACAAGGCTCATCAGAATTGTCTGTTTGATAACTTAATCACACTAACTTCAGAGGTACGGGAGATTATGCTAATTTCTGTTGCTATGTTGTTGTCATTGTGTGCTGTGCAGTTGCTTCGGACTCACAGGAACCTTATAAAGACAGACTAGAACTCCCCATAGGGTTTGACTAGGAGCCTGGAGTTTCAGAGAAGCAGATTGCCAAGTCTTTGCTTCCATGGAGTTACTCACAGGTTCAAACCATTAGCCATTTAGTTAGGAGCTTAAGAAAATAACGATGTGTTACACCAAGAGCTCATTATAGAAGTATGTTCATCTACTAAATCTATGTCCCTAGTGAGATTAACATAGGCTCATATATAAGCAGTCTCCAGTTAAGAAGATTTAACTTAAGGTCAACTCCTAATTGTCCTTCCATGTTTTGTAAATTTGTTTTATCTTTAAAATGATCAAACCAATTTTCCCCCGACTATCATTAAAGCAATTCTTGTTGTAGGAAGCTGCACCATAGGAGTTTCTGACATTATATAACTTTACAGAAGCAACCCATCTTTCTTTTTTTTCTTTCTTGGAGTGGGTGCTGGTTTTGAAGCCTCAGCCTTTGGGTTAGCAAGCCAATGCTTAACCGTTGAACTACCAGTGCTCCGTGAACCAACCTTTAATGTAAACAAATTCTTCATCATAATTACTAATTACTTTCATTTGTTACATATTAAGCTTTTAAAAATTCAAAACTGCTTTGAGCCTTTTCTTGCACCAAAGTAAGGTTAAATAAAAAATTGTAGCATCTATCCTGATGCCCCAATAAATTCTAAAAGGGAGAGCAATGCATCTGGTTTATATCTCATGCAGTCTTCCTACTGCATGTACGTGAATACAAATGAGAGAGCTTTGCTATGTTTGTGAAAAACTGAATTAAAAAGGAATGTAATTTTCCCCCCACAACCTTTTGGAGGTTCTCACACACACACACACACACACACACACACACACACGCGCGCGCGCGCGCGCGCGCGCGCATAGTCAAGAATTTAATTTTACTTAGATCCACAATCAACGCTTATCAAAAAATCAATGATGACATATTGCATTCAGAAAATGTGCTGCAAACTTTCTCTTAACAGTATGAAAGGGCACCGGGGGTGTCCCTTGAGGATTGTGGTGCACCTTACCTACACCGAGACATTTTCGATCACTTCACAGCAATGTGGAAAGTGGACAACGAACCAGAAAGACTGAGGAAGCACTGCTGCCTGTGAATTACGGGGTTTCAAATGAATTTTGGACGGACGCTGGACGGCCAGAACCACAGTCTGTCTTGTTGGAATACAGTGAGCGAGCTCCTCAGGAAGTGAGAATAATTCTTATGCATTTGGGACATGTTATCTGGAGAGACCAAATGTTTGACAAGGACATCATGCTTGTTAGAGGGTTCCTGAAAACCAGGAAGACCGACCATGAGATGTAATGCTTGCCAACATGTGTGAGGATGGCGCAAGACCAGTCAGTTTTGCATTCTGTTGCACAAAGGATCTCAGGGAGTCAGAGCCGACTCAGCGTCATTTAAGCACATGCAAAAAATTATTTCCTCTGGAGGGAAATATCCAGCAGTCCCTGCCACTTCCTCACAATGCCAGGAATCTGAAATAAACATGGCATTTCAACCAGATAGGTGCACATGACCTAACCTACAACTTAAATAGAATTATAAAGTTAATATAATGAAGATATTAGGATGACAACCTAATCCTTCATGGAAGATAATTATGATGCTAGTGAATTAGACCATACTGTTAGATTTAGATTTTAAGGTGATAAAAAATATAAAATTGAACAATACACAGAATATTTAATGCCTCCTACCCATTTTTGTTTCTCATGTCTACTTTCTGAAATCTGAGAAGTTTAAATATTTATTATAAAATGGCAAAAATATTTGAAAATAGAAATGTTTAATAGACTATACATTTTTTTCATTAATTTTTAGCCACTTATACATATATATACATATTTACACTGGAAGCATATATTAAATTCCTATTGTTTGTCAGGAACTCGGTCATGAGACTACATAATTTCTTTGTCTTAAAAAATTTAGATGGTTATAAAACAATAGAATTTAGAAACAGATATAATAGAACATATGAAACCATTAGATTTCATTGGCTATTTTCTTTTGCTTTTGTTTTCAATGTACTATACTTTTGAAAAATGAAATAAAAACCAAATAAAATAAAAAAATTTTAATTGTAAAAAAGAACCAATACTGTTATTAGACTGTTCAAGAAATAAACAACCTCACTGACATTGAGTCATGCTACCTCCTAGAGATGCACTGTGGGCTTCAGACACTGGGACTGTTTAAGGGAATAGAAAGTCCAGCCTTTCAAGCTGCTGGTGGTTTTGAAATGGCAACAGTATGGATTGCAGCCCAATGCATAACCACTATACCACCAAGGCTCCTGCTCAAGGAATACACATTCTTTTTATAGTCTAATTCTATCTAACTGAACTAACCTTGAGTTTATCCTGAAATAATGTTAGAAATTATGATTCTTGCCAAGAATTACAGAACATGACCTTCTTTAAAAAATGAAGATTGCACTCAGAGTAAAGGGCACAATGCTTATATTTACAGTATAAGGATATTTTTTTGCCTATGGGGACATTCATAAAATCCCCACGCAAATTAAAATATAAAGCATTTCCAATAGCCCAGAAATTTGTACTTTGCATACTCTTTCTGTCAGTACACCACTTGCAAGGGTGTATTTTTCTTAATTTTATCGTTCTTGTAGCTGCTGTCAGGTTAAATAGAGTCAATTTCAGCTTACATCCACCCTACTTACAGCAGAACGAAATATTGTACTATTCTCATAATGATTGCTATATTTGAGCCCATTGTAGTCACCATGTCAAACCATCTCATTGAGAACCATTTATCTCTATACTATACTCTACATTAGTTACTTTTTGCTATTGTTGTTCTAAGTATTATTAAAGAATTATGTTACCTTTCCGGAGGTGATTTCATTTCTTTGAGTTTCTATATAAGGAATTATAAACTATTAATATGTTGGGTGGAAATTTACATCCATTAAATATACACAGACACAGACACACACACACACACACACACACACACACACGGAAGTTTCAAATATTGGGGGAGGGGGAACTCCATAGTTTTTATTATTTTTATTATTATTTTTAAATCATTTTATTATATTTTGCATGAATTTTTGAAATATATATATATATTCGTTAATTAGTACTTCTTTCATAAAAGATGAAGTCCAGAATACCAAAAACAGGAGTTAAAATATCAAGCTAAGGGAAATGGAAAATTGGGGCTAATACACTAGCTACATCAAGCTATTAAGGAATATCAAAGTTTGAGAGATTCTAGCAGTTCTTTCGGAGAAAAGAGCTGGGGATCTCTGTGTTAAAGTACAGAAAACCCTATGGGTAGGGCTCCTTGGCCAGTGGGTGGTCAGTACAAGCCAAGATTGACTCAGCTGCTTCAAATGATAACAGCAATCATTGATTAGAAAAAACGAGTTTTTGAATTAAAACGGACTGTTTTCATTGCAGGAGAAAAGCCATAAGCTCATACATACCATTACAGGAGGGTAAGACTCTGTTCCAGGCTGGTTTTCCATCTGCACCAATAACACATGTGATAGATGAGGGGTCAACAATCTTATATCCAGAGTCACACTGGTAAGTGATTGTTGAGCCAAGTTTGAAATCTGTTCCAACTCTTGTCCCATTCATTATATTTCCAGGATCAAAACATGCTTCCCGTGGTTTCTCTTTAAAATAAATCAACATAACCTTCATAAGGAAAAGGATCATAATTCCCTTTTATTGGTTTGGTTGGTTAGTAGCTTGCTTGCCGTTCTTGTGCTTAGACCAGAGTCTGGCAGATTAAAAATACTCAGAAATATTTATTGATCTATTATCTGGATAACCTATTAATAAAATATCATAGGAAATTATACATTAACTTGTAATAAGATCATGTTTTAAAATCATATTTTCTTTTGACAGAATTGAATTAATCTAGGTTAAAAGTCATAGCAGTATATTTTATATACTTCTACTCCTTATAGCTATTGACATTGTCATTACAAAAATTAATGTATATTGTTTGATTTGGCACCTGAAATCATAGAAACATGTAGTTGCAAATGACAACATTGGAGAAATGAAATTCTCAAAAGGAGGATTAAATAATTAATGTAAATTAAAGCTCTCCAGGTTCCCAATAGTAGTACACACACTTAGAAAATAAATATAGATGTTTTGACTTCTTTGCTACCCTTCTTAAGTTATAGGTATTAGTAGTAGAAGTGAATGTGAAACTTAGCCAACTGAGAGCATTCACAGATCTATGAAGTTCTAATGTGGCATCTTATCTGTAATAATTACTCAAAAATTCTATCGTGATTATAATATGTTGATGTTAAGTGCCTTCAAGTTGCTTCCCACTCATAACAACCCTATGGACAACAGGCTAGCCACAGCCTCACAATTGTGCTCATGTCGGGGTCCATTCTTACAGCCACGGTGTCAACCGGTCTCACTGACTGATTTGTTACCCTCGATTTTACCAATCGTGACGTCCTTCTCCAAAGACTGGCTCCTTTTAATGAACTGCCACTGTATGTGAGACAAAGTCTCCCGATTCTCATTTTTAACGGGTATTGTGGCTATATTTCTTTCAAGATCAATTTTTCTGTTTTTCTAGCCATATTCCTTTTTTTCATCGATACTATAATTCAGATGCTTCAAGTCTTTTCAGTCTTCCTTATACATTTCCCTCTTTTGCATGTATAAAGGTGAATGAAATACCATCATCTGGGTCACATTTTAGTTCTGAAAGTGACATCTGGGCCCGTTAACACTTTAAAGGTGCCATTGGCAGCAGATTTGCCAATGCAATATGTTGGTTGGTTTGGGGGCTGCTGCTTCAATGGAAATGATTGAGTATTCAAGCAAAACAAAATCCTTGACAACCCTAACATTTTATCTGTTTATTATGATGTTGCTTATATGTCTATCTGTGAGATATTCTGTTATGTTGAATAGTAATTCATACTGTAGCTTATAGTCTTTCGTAGTCATCATGGAATGCTTCTAGCACGTTTCCCTCTCTGCTAGCAAGGCTGTGCTATCTGCATATCAGAGGTCGTTCGTAAGTTTTTCTCAATGCCTGTAGCCATTATGTTCTTCACATAGTCCAGTTGGTCTAGTTATTTTTTCAGCATACAAATTAAAAATGGAGAAGGAATACTGCCCTAATGCCCAGCTTCCCTGATTTTAGGTCACCAACCTTGGTTCTATTCAAGAGAGTTCTACTTGGCTTATGTACAGGTTCCCTGTGAGCACAATGAAGTGTTCTGGAGTTCCCTTTCTTTGTAATGTTATTTATAATGAGTTATGATCCAAATAGTTGAATGCCTTGTACATCAGTAAAACCAAGTTAACACTGCCCTGCTATTTTATGCTTGCAGTCAAGATACAACTGACATCAGCAATGGTATCTCTTCTCCAATATCTTTTTTAAAATCCAGTTTAAATTTCTGGCAGTTTCCAGTCAATGTGTTGCTGGAGCATTTTAAAAAATCATCCTTAGTACTACTTTACTTCCCTTTGATATTCATGAAGATGCCTTGGAGACTTAGCAGGTATCGGGCTGCTAGCCAGAGAGTTAGTAGCTCAAACTCCCAGAAGAGAGGTCTTCCTGCGTTGGTGAAGGTTCACCGCCTAGGAAAACCGTAGGGCAGTTCAACTCAGTTACACACTCAAAATTGGAATCAACCCAATGGCAGTGGGTGCTATTAAAGCTATTGTTTGACACATTCTGTATGCCGTTCAGTCATTGTCTTATTTTATTTTTAATAAGCATAGATATGGTTTTCTTCTAGCCAGCTGGCCAGGTATTTGGCTTCCGGATTTCCTGCCATGGTTGTTTGAGTGCCTGCCCCCAAGATGGTGTCTATTGCAGACACAGCTCCCGTTGTTGTAGAAACAACTCAATTAGCATTTTCTGGTCCCTCGTTCTCCCCAATCCCGGAGTGCTATTTGGATTCTTCCTTCAGTATCACTGGCTGCTGATTCTATCCTGGCTTCTGAAGTGGTTACACTGTGGCTTGTTGGTTTGCTTGATGCTTCAACAGATTCCTTCCATTTTTTGGATGATTCCCGTGTCATGAAATATTTTGCACTAGAATCCTTCAAGATTTATTGCAACTTAAGATTTATTTTTTTCCGTTATTTCTTTCAATTTGAGAAATTTCTGACTTTTTTCCCCTTTTTAGTTTTGAAACTTCAGGTTTTTACATGCATCATTGTAATATTTTACATAATCTTCTTAGGTTGTCCTTTTAAAATCTTCAATTCGGCACTTATATTTCATTATTTCTTCCATTCAATTTAGCTACACTACCTTCAAGAGCAAGTACCAGAGTCTCATCTAATATCCATATTAATGGCCTTTTTGTTTCTTCAGGGATGATGTTGTGGATGTTTTTCAAACATCTTGGCTTCTGTTATTAGTGTTCAATTTCTGAGCCCTATTCTTCGCATGGATTCTAGATTCTAAATCTTGCTCTTGTATGTTTATTTTCATTTTATTCAGCTTTAACTTGAACTTACATAAGAGTAAATAATGACTTATTCTTCAGTCTCTCGCTGGTCTTACTTAAATGGTGATATTGATCTTTTTATATGATCTGTTTTCCAGGATGTAGTTTATTTGATTCCTGTATATTCCATCCAGTGAGGTGCACATGCGTAGTAGTTATTTGTGTTGTTCTGGGGGGGAAAGTATTTCCAATGACTATGACATTGGTTTTACAAAATGTTACACTGAAATTTCAGGTGTCATTTCTATCACCCAGTGCAGAGTATCCGGTTAGTGGATCTTTCTCTTTTGTTTTCTGTTCTTGCATTCCATTCACTAGTGCTCATCAATGCATTTTGTTTTCTTTTATGATCAAATTTAGGCTGCAGAAGTTGATGAAAGTCCTCCATTTCTTAATCTTTGGCATTAGTGATTGCTTTTTAAATTTGAATAATAGTCACATGAATCGGTCTTCCTCAATGGTAAACATATATTATTATATCACAGATACTGTTAGACTTTGAACTCAGAATGTTATCGTTCTCATCATTTCTCTTCAATATTATGCATTCCCAGGATAGTAGAACAGATAATTGGACAACTAAAATTGAACAATCTAGTTCCTTTCAAATCACTAATGTTTTGAATTTCAGTCATGATGTGTTCCAAATCATTTTTGATGACTTCCTATTTTCCTGCATTCATACACTGTACAAGTTATGTTCTGATTATGTGCAGCTGGATTTTCTTTTTCCTTGGAGTCATGTCATATCACCAAATGAAGGTCCTCAAAGGTTTACTCTACTCCTGTCACTAAAGTCGACCCTGCTTGGAGAAGACAGCTCACTATTTGAGTTCCTAAAATCTTGAGCATCTTCCAAGCTTAGGAGGCTCATCTTCTGATGCTACAGGAGACTATACTCTGACTCTTTTCATGAGATATATACTTTCCAATGTTTTAAAAAGTAGATCACCAGCCCTTAGTTCTAGTCTGTCTTAATCTTGAAAACTCTACTGAAACCCGTCTATCATGGTTGGCCTTGCTGGTATTTGAAGTACACGTGACAGAGCTTCTGGCATTACAGCAAACACAAGCTATCACAGATCAAAAAAGTGACAGACAGGTGATGAGATGTATAAAATATATAATAAGATAGTCAGAAAAGAAAAAGACCTTGAGAAGTCATTCAGGAAGAAAAAAAAATGTATGTGGGAATTCAATATATTACTTTTTCTTATACACCAAGAGCAGTAAACAAAAAATTCTTTGGGAAATTTGACTTATCCTAGTTTAATATAATTTATTTACATACTTATGTAAAAATGAAATTTATAGATATATCTTGTCCAAATTTATTAAAGTTCTCTGTTTTTGTTATTGTTAAGTCTATCAGTAGCCATTTTGTGGCAGGTTGAAACCAGTGTACACTATTCACTTTATTTAAAATCAATTGGGATATTTAAGATGGTAGGGACATTTTGATGATTTACCATATGTACCTTAATCCTCATATGGACATTTATTGCGAGCAAATAATGATCACTTGAATACTGCAATATAGACTATAAAAGTTGCCCCATTTTGCTATTGTTTTTTCAATTATTCAACATAATGTATGGACCATATACTGAATACAAACAGCAATCTAGGTTAGATTTTTTTTCTTTCTATAAAATGAGCAAAATTTTATTATATGCCATACCAATATATGTTTGTTTGTTTGTTTCAATATTTTGATTTATTTTTGTTCGAAATATCTAAATTAATACTTATTGTTAGTTTACTTTTTAGCTATATACCATTCACAAAAGCTCTTATTCTCTGTTACTAATTTAGATTTCAGATGCCACAGTTTTATTCAGATGAACTGCATCTAATCTTTTGGTTTCATTTACCTAGTTGTCAGTTCAGGATATTTGGTGATAAATCAGTGGTGCTTTTTTTTTGCTTAAATTTGTCATGTTTTCTAATTAGATGACTTCATAATATGGCGTGCTCTGCTGTTGTTAATGTCTGTTCCAGTTAAGGAAATTCTTGAACATCCCTGCATTGGAAGCTGAGTAGATTGAATCTGCCAGCCCCCTTATATCACTTCACAGCATGACAGCCCTGTTGCTCCTTCTAATCCTTGCTAGGCCTAGCATTCATTCTGCAAGTTGCTTCCCTGATCATAGCATGAGCATATTCTTTGCTTCATACAATGTCATCATCATTCTTGTCTTAACTTGTTTTCTTCATTCATTTTTACAGGCTCCATGGAGGAACTGTTAAACCATTAAGAAATATAGCACCCAGTTAGATCAATTTTCTGCTTCTTAAATAACATATTAAAAAGACAGGTCTTCTGTCATATCACTAGTATAGCATTTTATACTTCAATTAATCATTCATTTACCGATTCATTCTAAATACATTTTGAACACCTTTACATGCATAACAGGCTATAAGGTATTGACATAGCCCCCAAACCCAAACTCAATTCCAACTCATAGCAACCCTATAGGCCAGAGTAGAACTGCCCCAGGGGGCTTCTGGGGTTATAAATCTTTACAGGAGCAGAAAGCCTCCTCTTCCAAATAGGCAATGATACATGTATCATTTTCTATTTCTAAAACTCACTGCCACTGAGTCAACTGCAACTCCTCGCGACCCTGTAGGAGGGGTAGACTGCCTGTGGGTTTCGGAACAGGTAATTCTTACAGGATGGAAAGCCTAGGTCTGCCCTTTAGGGGAATGCTTTTGTTGTCCATTGTTCTGGTTTGTTTTTACTCATTGTATTTACTGCCATGCTTCATGGGCTGTTCAGTGAGTGTTTGTTCATCAGGAACTGTCCTTGAACATGATAAATGCTTGCAGTAACTCTTTAAATTGTTCATGAGTATGCAGATGCCATCCCAAAATTACTGGAGATACATCAGATTGATGAACTGTAAATATGTTTGTACTCTTTAATAAATAGACAAAAGTTATAGATGTTTAAGTCTGGGGAGAAATGGTTTTATTTTTCTGCTTAAAATTACATAAAAGCATTCAAACCCAATAAATAGTGAATGGAAATAAATTATATACTATATTATCTTCTATGGTTTTCTCTCCTACTTAAATTCAACATTTCTATAAATATAAAAGTTGAATTCATTTACTATATTTGTAGTCATTTTATCTAATTCTTTGTAATATGCTCTGAGAATACATATTTTTTAATAAATGTGAGCCTAATAGCAAAATGTTTAGCTCTGGTAGATTTTTGTTTGTTTGTTTGTGAGCTTTTTTGTTTCCCCCAAATGTTTATAAGATGACTGATCTGAAATTCACTGGTCTGGTGACCAAAGATGTAGCAATTACCAGAGCTCCTCATTAGATCAATATACAAAGGTGACAGAGAAAAAGAAAGAGGTAATAGCTACCTTACACATTTTTAAAATGACAGAAAACTAGGGCATTTTAATGTACATAGACATCTTGAAGACACAAATGGTAAAAGGTTAAAACAAAATTCAAAGTAGTTTTAAAAATTATCAAATTCTTCATCGCAGAGACTATAGTTTATTTCTAATGATTTTAAGTTTTTAGGTCCATCTTCTTGTTTACTTTTTTTTTCTTTTCAGTGAAATAAGAAATGTTTTTGAAATTTCTTCTTCACTGGCGACATCGTATTCCCTTACTCAGATACATCCGCACACTTTATGAAGTGAGCAGATGAAGAGATAATCCATACAAATATCCATGCATTTAACAAAATCCAGCTGCAAAATAATTTCCAAACAAATGAAGTTGATCATAATACCTTTAAATTCAATGGCGAACCCAGACAAACCCACAGATGCGTCACTCCGAAATGCCAGAAAAAGGCTGTCTCCACTACTCTCTATTCTTTCGGGGGCTTGAGAGCCCTGGAAACTTCCAATGAGTGGGCTGTTTGAATCCTCCCCTTCATAGATGTGTAGAAAGTCATAGCTAGGTTCCATGTTGAAGCTAAAAAAAAAAGTCACATATATATGCATAGATGGAACATAATCATTGCATATTAATATTAGTTACTAATGTAAACTTCTCTTATCCTTCAGAATATAGGGTCTCTGTAAGCACCCAGGTGATTAGATTTGCTTTGGCTTAATAACCAAAACCCAAATCATTGTCATTAAATCAATTATGACTCATAAGAACCATCAAGCATATAAGATAAAATAGAATTGCCCCACATGGTTTTCAATGCTGCAAATCTTTATAGAACCAAATAGCCATATATTTCTCAAATGGACTGGCTAGTAGGTTTGAACTGACCCTCGTTTTTAACAGCCAAGTGCTCTAACCACTATTCCACCAAGCTGTTTTTAATAATATTTCATAAAATCTGGACAGCATAAAAGTTAAATATAACAATATAAAACATGCTATAATAGTGATATATAACAAATTTTAACTATTTTAAGATACAGCATGTGGTATTATACATTAAATAACTGATGTTCAATGTAATAAAAATTTGAAGACAGCTCTAAAATTTATTGGAATACAGATATAATATCTCGTCTCATTATCTCTAACGTTGCTAATGAAGTGCAACTTGATAGACAGGACTGCAAATGAGATGAATTTTCATTGACATTTAATTTTTATGTGAATTACGTAGCTACAAAAATATGCATCCCCATGATTACTTATTTTCTTAAAGTTTGGCTATGGATCTTTTTGTTTGATTATTTGCTCTTACTTAGAAAATCTAATTGCTTTACATGCTTAGGTAAATCTAACTTGTCCTCTTTCTCTTATAATACTAATCTGTGGTTAGTTGTCCAGGAGTCTAACTATTTAAACCCAAAACTCTCAAACGGAAGCTGCTTTAAATGTCTGCACCACTTTTGAAGTGAGGCGGATGTAGACTCTGAGCTTTAAAATAATATATACTCTAAATTAAAAGCTTACACTTTGTTCAGATGTCTAAGACCTTGGTGTGATAATCATAAAAAGTAAATTATAGTGAGGCATACACTGATGTATTGTAACATCACCCTCCACTCTTTCTCTGAATTCTGTTTGAGAGGATTTTTCTTTCTTCATCATGGTCTCAATTCCTAGAATTTCTACTCCCTTCCCTTTAAGTTGATGACTTACCTGGGAAGCACACATGCACACAAACACACATTATCAACATTGTTTAAAGGTGCCATTGTTTAATTGACTCTAATTTACCTAGAGATTCAACTTAATAAAATAAGAAAAGGTTAGGAAGTTTCCTATTACTTTAGAAACGATTCATGGGAAATAAGCATCAAGGAGAGCCAGCCCTGCATTTTGCTGTTCCATTACAGGTGACTCCTGTAACTGTTCGGAGTTCATTCTCTTAATATAATATTGAAATTAGTTTTAAAAGATTTATTAGATATGATCAGTGAAAGCAGAAAAATGCTTAAAGCATATAATGCAAATGATCACTAAGCATTCGGGGGAACAGATTTTATCAATCAAGTAGCTTTTGATTGAGCTAATAATTTTATTTGGAATATCTTGCAAAGATATTGAGGGGGGCTCCAAAATTTAGTGAAAAATTCAAATTAAAAATGATAGAATTTGTCCACAAACTTTTAAAGTCTTTTATAATTAGATCGTGATCATGCTGTACCTTCAATCATGGCTTAGGTAAGGATTGCTAACAGAATCCTGGTGATGCAGTGGTTAAGTGCTCGACTTGAACCACATGTCTGGCTACTTGAATCCACTGGTCACTTTTGGGAAAAAGGTACGATGATCAGTTTTGTAAAGAATACAGCCTGGGGGAACCTACGAGAACGTTCTACTCTTTCCTAGGTGGTCACTAGGGGTCGGAATTGACTCATGGGAGCAGGTGCTGGTGATTATGTTTATTTATTTAGCACCTGAAATACAATCAGACCCAAACGTATATTTTACCTTTGCTTTCTGTTTATATGTAACTTGAGCATTATATAGCAGGATAGAATTAAATTTTAGACTTAGTTACAATTTAATTTATTAATGTTGGTCTTCTTTCTTGGCAAAGTAGGGGATCAGGAAAAAGAGGAAGGTCCTCAATGAGCTGCGATGGCACAGGTGCTGCCACAAGGAGCTCAAAAATAGCAAAGTGGGGAAGCCTGCGGCAGGACCAGCTGTGTTCACCGTAAGTGGGAAACAAATTGGTGACAGGTGGCAACAGTTCCACACATACCTACGAGCCCACAGGATAAGCCAAAGGCAAGTTACACTTTCAAACCAACTTTAAATACAGTAGCAATGAATGCTCCTGTAGAATGAATCCCATAGTCTATGGAGGCAGGTTAGGGAACCAAATCCGGTGTCGTGAAGTCAAGTCTGACCCATATCACCCAATGATATGGCATCCCTCTCAAAGGACTCAGAGAACTGGAGTCTGCCCTAGAAGCTCACATGTATTCCAGACCAGGGAGTTCTTTGTCTTACTGTTAGCAAGGCCAGATCCCCGTCCCCTTAATATCTAGCTGAATTTGTTATACACTGTCCCTAGATCTCCTTAGCTGCCATTGTTAGTGTCGGTCTCTGCATTTATGAAGTTGAACATTTCTGTCCAACCAGTTAAGAATTCTGGGTTCACTCTGGACACCACTGAGGTCTCAGTTGCTTAGGTCTCAGATAACTAGTGCACCTGCCCATGCCCAGCCTCTCCAAGCTTGTTCAGACTAGCATGAAAGCAAAAGGCAAGCCACCGTGGTACGACATCACAAATGTTGATGGCTAGTGGTTCAGAGAGCAGAGAGCTGAAGCTTTGTAATTCCACACTCTTCATTTGAGGTGTACAAAATACAGTGGGGTGGGGCAAGGGAACTTCTTATATACATTTTTCATATATGCCAAATTACTTGTGCATTAGAAACCTTCATAATTAGTCACTTTGACAGTGTAATTTAGGAAACTCATAAGAACTAATAAGCCTCTGTATTCACTAACAGGCTTTTAATTTTTATTTATTTATAATCAGCTGGCAAGAGAAGTATATTTTGGCTACTAGAATGTAACATTAAATTTAAAAAAGAACAAAGATATCCAAAATATAGCCAGCAGATTTTACAGGTTTGTGTTGTAGGTCAAGTATTTATCATTCAATAAAATTATAGCAGCATTTTAAAGTCAGAAAATGATGGCTTATCAAACTACTTAAAATTCAAAATCATGAGGTTTAAAAATACTGACTCAGAATTGATCAGGAGGCAAAAGGACAGAATCATGCCTTGGGCTTGGATATTGATGTAAATATCTCAAAAAAAGTAACTTGTTCAATTGACAGAAAAATAATTAGACCACTTTGCTCTGCATAGGAAAGTGATCAATAGAATAGTTTATAACCCCACTCACATCTTAATATATCCTACTCATTTGCTTCAGAAATCAAAATGTAAGGCTGTAGAAGATGGTGAGGTTTTAAAATATACATATTTATCATCTGTAGTGTGATTATAATGTGATGCTCTTATAGAATGTATTCTCATCACTTCATCGAATATGTTAACCTTTTTCACCTAGATTAGTGAGCGCCACCACTTTTAGAAACACTCATGGTGTTACGTCTTTCCATTCCAAAGCTCTAGCAAGCCTTTGCTGTCTTCGTGATAATAACAGTGTTAACCTTGGGAATGTCACACAAGATGTGCTATGGGGATGAACTAGCTATTGCATTTAAAGAAATATGACACATTAATAAATTATATTAAATGTGTGTATATCATTTTTTCACTACTTTTCTTAAATATTTTGTAAATCAAGCCTTTCCATATGGAATACCTTGTGCACAAGATAATATTTAAAAACCATGTGTGGTTCATCATGTGAATCCTAGCACAAATAGAAGACTCTAAATCAAGGGAATACAGTTCCATTTATGTCATTTTGCAGGCTCTTGTACTACCTATTAGACACAAATCTAGGACTTAGTAGAAACAAAATTGGAGGCTGTATGAAGTGATGAATGAAGGAATTGTAGGTATGACATTTAAAGTACTGCTAACAAGGAGTATTGTACAGGCGGGGGTACCTTTTGAACATCAAGGCAATGACAAAGTCGGGGTTCACTCTTATTCTCCAGTCACACTCTTTCCCGGGAGGGTACGGTTGTGGGTAGTTAGGTGACAAAATAACACCCGCCGGGCCACTCAGGTTCCCTCCACAAGCAGCTGTCATGGAAGAGGGAGAGATGGGAAAGCGAGAAACACTGGTCAGTGTGAACTCAAACATCACACAATTCATTTGGGGGGTGGGGAGGCTCATTCTTCAGCATTCTCCTCTTCAAAGAGACCATGCATTGATTTACTGAGTAATTATCCAGATAGCACATTAACACCCAAGAAGTCTTTTTCATGTAATTATTAAGAAATTTTGAATAATTCATCATACCACTTATAGAGACAATTTTCAAACTTCTGGAAAATCTGTTTTGCTTCGTAATTTAAATGTTTACCCAATTAAGTTAAAGAAAGTACATTAATATCCTGCATGCTGCAAATCATACCCACAGACACACACACCCATATACACATTCATAAGCCAAAAAGAAATAACCTTGGACAAAAAAGAAAAGAAAAACAATATCACCCTGAACAATACTTTATGTGTTGATTGTGTGTGTGTGTTGTTGTTTTGGTGCTTTCTATGGCTTACAAAGTTATTAATCAGTTATTGTGACCAATCACTCCTTAAAAGGAGCATCTACCTTTGTTGGAAGAAGTACAACCATTGAGGCAGAATGGCAAGACTTCCTCTGTCTCTCTCTGGACACGGTATCCAGAGAGAGCACTCCCGACGGAAGGACATAGGCCTGGTAAAGTAGAGGGGCAGCTAAAAAGAGCAAGACAAGATGGATTGACACTCATGGCTGCAACAGTAGGCTCAAATGCAAGAACAATTATGAGGATGGCTAGAACCAATCCCTATTTCATTCCTGCTGTGAGCCAGAACCAACTTGGAGACACCTAACAACATCTTTGTGTAGTCTTACCCCCAATGCCCAGTACAAACTTTGCTCATAGTTATTCATTACATAGTTGCTGAATGAATGAGTAAATGATTTTATATATTTCTACAATCCTCTGATCTGTGTAGGAACTGATGTGCCCTTCCTCAGTGGAGAAATAGTTATATGCTGGGCTGTGAACCACAAGGTCAGCAGTTCAAAATCACCAGCAGCTCATTGGGAAAAAAATGAGGCTTTCTACTCCCGTAAAGAGTTACAATCTGAGAAACCCACAGGGACAGTTCTACCCTGCCCTATAGGGTCACCGTGCTTTGTTTTTTTCTGACCTCTGTAGGGCTTAACTCAAACTAAGGGCCACGGAGTCGACTCATGGTGATCCTATAGGTCAGGGTAGAACAGGAGCCCTGTGAATTTCCCAGAAATTCTTGACAGGTTTTCTTCCCAGGAATTCCCTGTCATTGTTGATAGGAATAGGAAGCCTGTTTTCCTCCTGAGCTCCAGATTGGCTGTTCGTTTGGGATTGCTGACCTTTGGAATCATGGCCCCAATGTGTAACTTCTATGCCACTGGGTTACATGCTGGGGTGTGATTAGCAGTTCGAAGCCACCGGTGGTTCTGAAGAGGAAAGAGGGCTTGGAAACCCGCAGGGGAGTTCTACCTTGTGGGACAGCATCACTTAGAGTCCACATAGACTTGAAGGCAGTGAGTTTGCTTATTCTGACGTAGACTGTGGGCAATTTTCCCAGAACTTTAAAATGAAAACACAAACATCGACATTTAAATAATAAATGATGTCTAGAATCCATACATAAGTGTCTGAACTACACCCTACATCTAAAAATATTACTTAATGAAAATGCTTATTGTAATTCCAATTTATTTACTCAATTTTTAAATATAGTTCAAATGTGTTTAAAATGTTTAAATGTTTGGATGTGTAAGATAACAATTGCACAGTGTGATCTGTTAAAAGACAAGCCACTGTCTGTTATTGAATCTCAAAGTATTTAGGAATGTTTCAAAGTAAGATTTTTCTAAACAATATTTGCATGAAAGGTAATTTAAAAACATAGCATTGCTCCCCACTCCCACTATCATGATATGAATTCTACCTTGCAAGTCTGGCTAGACCAGAGGATGTACACTGGTACAGATAGGAAATGGAAATACAGGGAATCAGGGTGGATGATCCCTACAGGACCAGTGGTGTGAGTGGGGATACTGGGAGGCTAGAGGGAGAGTGGGTTGGAAAGAGGGAACCGATTACAAGGAACTATATGTGACCTCCTCCCTAAGGGACGGACAACAGAAAAGTGGGTGAAGGGAGACGTCGGACAGGGAAAGATATGACAAAATAGTAATTTATAAATTATCAAGGGCTCATGAGGGAGGGGGAGGGGAGAGGGAGGGGAAAAATGAGGACCTAATGTCAGGGGCTTAAGTGGAGAGTGAATGTTTTGAGAATGATGAGGGCAATGAATGTACAAATGTGCTTTACACAATTGATGTATGTATGGATTGTGATAAGAGTTGTATGAGCCCCTAATAAAATGATTAGAAAAAAATAAAAATAAAAGTAAAGTAACTATTAAATGAAAAAAAAAACATAGCATTCAAAAGTACACGAGTTGGTGTTTAAAAATCTGTTATGTTTAAAAGTTTTACACATGAAATACTATGCTTTGTTCCAAGCTATCTTTTTAGTGATGTAACCCCCATTAAATTGTAGCATTTCCCCTAAACTATAGCTTTTCTCATATGTTGTTACTGTCGTTAGGTGACATGACATCAAGTCAGTTCCAACCCAGAGTGACCTGATCTAGAAAAGCCAAGCTCGGTCCTGTTCCTTCCTCACAACTGTCCCATTGCTGCAGCTACTGTGTGAAGGCACCAAACATGATGATGTCCTTCTCCAAGAGACTGGCCTCTCTGACAACATGCCCAAAGGATGTAAGGTGCAGTCTCGCTCGCCATCCTTCCCTCTAAGGAGCACTCCGGCTGCCCTTCTTCCAAAGCAGATGCTCGTTCAGATGAAAGTCCACGGTACCTTCAATATTCTTCTTGAACACAAAATAAAAGGCACAGCTTCTTCTTCAGTTTTATTCGATGACCAACCTTCATATGCACAAGAGGCCACTGAAAATACTATAGTTGGGGTCATGTACACCTTAGTCCTCAAAGTATCAACGAACACAATCAGGGGTTCAAAACAAAGGTAGACAGGAAAATGCCATAATCAAGAATTCTACCCCACCACCACACACATGCAAAGAAAAACTTTTTTTTAAGTAAATAATCAAAGTAATGCATATAAGAGAAACACATTTCATAATTGTCTGCCATGGATGTAACTTTAAATGCACACGTAAGCTTTCCAATTACTTTTCTATGAGAATACAAGTAATACTGAGTAACATTTTTGCATAATTTCAAGTTTAATCCAGTGTTTTCCAAAATGGGTGATCCCATCCCCTGGGGCAGGGAATTGCTGGTAAATTTCAGGGGGACTACAATAGCAGATGCCAACACTTTTTTCCTGGATTATGAGCTATAGTACAAATGTTTTTCATTACCAGTGGAGTGTTGAGTAATTTTGATTTTCCCCTATAAGTCTGAGAACCTACTCAAGGACAACCTATGAGCAATATTATAGGATTTTATTTATAATAAGTATTCAGAGCTATATAATCAATAAGATTAATACAATATGATTTCTTCAAGAATGATCAAATAATTTTCATACTATGCAATTTCATTTTAGTAATTTATGTAGAAGTTAATGTATGGTTAGTGTTTATAAGATGATACTCTCCTAGAATAAAAAATGCTGATAGTTTTAAGGGTGAGAAGCCTGAAAAATGGGGGTAGGGGGATTGTAATGTAGCTAAAAAAAGTACTTACAGATTTGAGAATATTCTAACCCATGCAGGGTTTGAAGATGAAAAAAATGACAGATTCGGGGCATGGGCTCCAGGGTGCAACCAGTGGAAGAGTTCAGAGCTAATAATGATTTAAAAGAAACAAACTGGATATCTTCTCTTATTCATATACATCCCAACAGGCAAATTCAAATGAAGCTATTTAAAAGCTTTGAAGTATAATATGTAAAGTGCTACTGTCTTGGTTTATTTGTTCTCTCTTTTGGTCTGGTATCCTTCATTTTTGGTTTAGTAGAATTTAATTAAACAGTTTAAAATTACTGGGGATAAGATTAGATTCTAGTAGAAAATGAAACTCAGAGAAAGGAAGAAATTCTCCAAAAATAATGGACACAAAGGGAAAGCCTTTAAATTCTGAAATTTTAAATACTGTATCATCATAATGATCAGCGTTTGAGGCAAAATTCTTAATGAGATACATCAATGGCTCTGCATCAAAACAGCTTTCTAATCTCATTTTTCAAAACCATGCTCACTGCCATCCCATTGATCCCTACGCCTTGTCATCCCTAGGCAGGGTTTTGAGACTGTACCTTTTTATGAGAACAGACAACTTTGAATCTAAATACAAATCTAGTTTTCTCAGCATTAGAATGTAGGTATGTGTGGAAGAAAGGCTGGAGAACTACTCCCAAGAATCAGCACGTGGAAACCTATGGAACGCAGGTGTACCCTTAACACCCAGGGACCCTATGAACCGCAGTCTGCTCCACAGGACATGTTTTCTAAGAGTCCTTTAGTCAGAAGGGAGTCCTGGCAGTGCTATTCAGTAAAAGTCAAACTAACTACAAGGTCAGCAACTCGAATCTACCAAACACACCATTGAGAAAAACAAGGCTCTCTGCGGCCATTAAACCTTCGGGAGAAATCGGAAACGCTAAATGGGGTCACAGTAAGTAGAATCAACTTGATGATAGTGGGTTTGTTTTTTGTTTCTTTGCTTTGTTTCGAATTTTAGTTTAGTCTAAAGAGTCAATTCTGTTCAATTTAACTAATAAAGAGACAAAGAAGGAACTCCCTATTCTCCTGATAGGACTGTACTGAGAAGTAAAAAAAGTGAAGCATCAAATTATACTGTAGGAAAGAAGATTAAAAGCAAATGACAAAGCTTTAGCACACAAAACAGATGAGAGATTAAAATATTTTATAAAAAATAAATACCTGAAATAAAGAGAAAAATAATATTAAGGGCGGGAAAATTAGCCAGTAAATCAAGGAAGAAGAAATCCAGATGGCCAATTAGTGCATGAAAAATAATTCAACCTGACTGCTGGCTTAAAATTTAAACTAAAACACAAAGAATAATCACTTTCTGCCATATTAAGTTATGAGATTAAAAACATTATACCTAGTTTTTTTTTAAGTTGACAAAAATTAGACATTTTCATTCATGGTTAGAATAAATTAGTATAGTCTCCTTAAATGTTTTAAAAGCCTAGAACTACATAAATTCTAGTAGTATCTCATACAGAAATAATGAACAATACATTTTTAAACAAGGTTGTATGTAACAATCTCCATAATAGGGAAACAATGAAACAACCTAATTGTAAAATAATGATGAACTAATATGATCAATATTGGTGTACACAAAGAGAGTCTATTAGTCATTAGAACTTAATTAGTAGAAAACACATGAACACACATACACACACAAGCCAATCAACATGCATTGATAAGTAAAAAGTTCAATTTACAAAATAAGAGAGAGAATGCTGCCATTTAAAAATACTCTAAAATGATTATATACAAGGAGATGGCAAAAAATTCATGGAAATATTCCATTATCTTTCAATTTCAATTTTTCCCACAAATAGTTGAAGCCCCTTTGTATATATAAGATAATTATGAAGTTTATTTGTGTTTTCTATATTAATAGTAATTGTCTGCAGGTAAGAAAATAGTGTAACTTTATTTCACCTGTGGTATTTTTGGGTTTTATTTTGTTTGCTTAATTGTATAATAACGATTAAAAAACTCTATTATAGTGGAATATTTTAATAGCTTGTAAAAAAGTTCCATAGTAAACGTTTTATTTATTTATTTATTTATTTTATTTTTATTGTTTTATTTTATTTTATTTGTTTATTTTTTACAATGGCATTTTATTATCAATTGCCATAGTTCCTCTATAACTATGCATTTCTTTTTTTTTTTAACATTTTATTAGGGGCTCATACAACTGTTATCGCAATCCATACACACATCAATGTATAAAGCGCATTTGTACATCATTCTCAAAACATTTTCTCTCCACTTAAACCCCCGACATTAGGTCCTCAATTTTCCCCTCCCTCCCCGCTCCCCCCTCCCTCATGAGCCCTTGATAGTTTATAAATTGGTATTTTGTCATATCTTTCCCTGTCCGACATCTCCCTTCACCCACTTTTCAGTTGTCTGTCCCCCAGAGAGGAGGTCACACACAGTTCCTTGTAATCGGTTCCCTCTTTCCTACCCATTCTCCCTTTACCCTCCCTGTTTTGCCACTCACACCACTGGTCCTATAGGGCTCATCCGTCCTGGATTCCCTGTATTTCCAGTTCCTATCTGTACCAGTGTACATCATCTGGTCTAGCCAGACTTGCAAGGTCGAAGTCGAGTCATGGTAGTGGGAGCGGGGAGGAAACATTTATGAATTAGAGGAAAGTTGTATTTCTCATCGTTGTTACATCGCACCCTGACTGGCTCATCTCCTCCCCGAGACCCCTCTGCAAGGGGATCTCCAGTGGCCTACTAATGGGCTTTGGGTCTCCACTCCGCACTCCCCTCAAACATGTTTTATTTTTAATGAGGGTAAGCATTGCAAAATAAAAAGAGTATCACAGGTCAACACAACAGACCTTAGGTGAGTGTGAAGAAAAGAGCAACTGAAATACTATCTGATCTGCCAGCGCTCAAGTTTTCATGCATCTTTAACTTCTAAAAACCCTTGCATAACGAATTGGACTAGTACCTGCATAGCACTCCTCGGAGGTTTTCTGCTTCTCTGAAGATTGGCAGTCAGAAACCCCTAGGGGCAGTTCTACTCTGTCCTTCATAGTCACTACGAATTACCATATAGGCTCCGTGTCTTCCACTGGATGGCAGCGATGAAAGCAGTTTGCCACCCATTGATATCATAAATATTAGCTGGTGGAAAACACCCAGGGGAAATCACAGGTCAAAGGTCTGTTATATACTTCTATAGTTCCCGGTATCTCTTTCCATCTATTTGCTATTGTTAGTTGTCTTGACTCTACTCAGAGAGAGCCCAGGCGTTAGGGAGTAGGACTCCTCCACCGCTAGTCTTGACTATATGCTTTAAGAAAGCAGTTCGCTGGACCTGCCTCCAAGAGAGCTGCTGAATAGGCTTCAACTATCAACCCAAAGTCCAGTTAGACTTCGTTAAAGACGGCGTCACTAAAAGCCTAAACTGACTGCATGGCTACCCTTTTCTTTGGACACTTAAAATGAGGAGAGGGCAATCCAGGGGAAAATGGATGTCTCATTTCCAATCCACATTAAAACAAACAAACAAAATACTGCCATCCAGACCAGGGTTGGAAAGTCTATATATAATTCAATAGTTTCTTATAGGAGAGCAAGGGATTTGGGGTGGGGCATATAATTTAATAAAATGATCATGTTAATTCTTTTCAAATATACATTTTCTACTTTTTGTTTTCAAATACCAATGACTGTAGATAGCTTAGGTTACCAAAAGCATAGATCATTCAGTTGCTTAGAAATTATTTTATCTTGTACTTGGAGTTGATATTCAAATGGAGGAATATCATCGCTTTTCTTCACTGCAGATCAAATTACTCAGTTGTTCATCAAAATTAACTAACTAAGAAATGAACCAACAAAAGTCTATAGATTGGTTGGGAATATGCTTAATAGGTTCTTCTTTAACATATTGCCAAATCACAATTGCCTTTTTAATTTTATTTTCTGTTTTTTTTCAAGTTTTATTGGCCACAATTATCTTTAAAATATTAACTTATAGTAGTATTCCATTTTAATGTATTCCTCCATGATCTTAAAAAATGTAAAGAAGAAAAAAATAAGTTAATAAGAGTATTTCATAATTTAAAAATAGGCCAATGACTTCCAATGAGTGTTGCATTAATAGGTAATTACTCTCCTTCAAATACTAATACACAGAAATCTTGTAAGTCTCCCAATGACTCAGCTTGAAATAAAATGCATGACAATGCTTACAAAAGTTATAAGATGTAAATGCAGCAGAAACATTAAATAAACATGGATAGTTCACTGACAAGGTTGAGCATGCTAATAAACAGAGCAAGCAGATCTCATCTATCTTCAGAATGCTGTAAGTATTTTGTAAAAACTTGAAAGCTATGCATCGTAACACGGCAAGGCCACTGAACATTTCCATGCTGCTGTGTATATGACAATAAAAGTACTGTAATATATAAAACCCCCTTCAGGTCACAGTATGTACACTCATCCGTTGACTTTGGGCATGTCATTTTACTATCACTTTCACACTTTACAGAGTAATTAAAGTGTACATTTCCCAAATAGATTAAGGAAGTAAACATTAAACTGTGATTGTTCATTTAAATAATGAAGTTTTGAAGAATGTCTTTTTCAAATACTCTATATAGTGATTTTATGGTGAAATGCTTAATTGAATGAAGAGACAATCTATAAAAAAGGGTATTTTTACAATCAAAGAATATATATTACCCTCAGACCATTTGAGTGATAAAAGTATCTTGGTAGTTACCTAAACTAAAGCTTGCAAAAACCACTGTTATTCTTTTAATAAGGTCAAATTGTTGACTATCATGATCTTTTCATCTTTCTTTTGACATAAAAAGTAGATGTTCTATTTTTCAGGATTCTATTTAAAATCACACTGATACTATAGAATAACTATCTAAAAAAGAAAAAGCACTCTTTAGTGAGTAGGTTTTTCTTAAGGGCATTTTTCTATATTAAAAATGAAAATAGTAGTGGTAAGGTTATAAGGTTCTGTAACACACAATTTTGAATTATACTAATTTAATTGATGTATAGTTGTGCAAGATTTGTTAAGGATAGGAAATGTTAAATAAATACCAGTTACTGTTACATTAAGTAAATTACTTTCTTTATCTTACCTTATAAAATAAAGTTTAAAGCGCTACTGTAAAATGTCAAATACAGCCTCAGAGAACCAGAGGGCATGTAAGAAACTCTAGAGAAGCATTTCTAAAGAAATGGTACATTTGCAGGCACCATTTCAGAGGTCACATGCCTTCATGACCACGTATATTGATTTCTGTTACAATTACCTATACATGTGGGAGGATCCGGTTGCCAAAAGAATCGGTTATTCAACTGCACACAGGTGATTTTGGCTTGCCCTTGGAGCTGGTAGCCAGGGTCACACTGGAACGTGATAGTATCTCCGGGTTCCCTGCTGTCTCCATAGCGGGTGCCATTCTGAGGCATGCCGGGGTCATTACAGGTCGATGCAACTGTTGCTACAAAGAAAAGCCAAGAGCACACCAAATTATCAGAAACATGATTTCTATAGCCATATAAGAATACTGATTATTTATTTTTGAAACACCATGTATTCATTCATATACTGAATCATTTGTCTATGTATGAACAGATTAAAATTTCCCCTCAAGGGATACATTCATTAAGAATCAACTTTATAATAATTTTTTGTGCCAATTCTACCAAAACCCTTGGCAAAATGTAAACAAATACGAAATATGTAAAGGTATTTTTATAATGCTCTATGTAGTACATGGATGTGCTCACATGCCTTCTCCACTCATTTCCTCACTAAGAATGGTTTTTAAAGAGAGCAGGTTTCACAAGGTAAGTGATTATTGCAAGGAACCTGGAGTAAAACAGAATAGCAAGATTTTCTTTAAGGTCTGTGCTTGTTAACCTGACCAGATAATCTTTATTTTATTTTATTTTTTTATAGTAGGAGTAAGCTAGAAGTAACTACTAGTCCATTTTAATCATAGGTCTCATGGGGCCTGTGGTCTTGGCAAGGTTATTAATAATCATCTTTCACCTTCAGGAGTCTTCCATTTTGTGCAATATATTATATAATCACATAATTTACCAAAGTTTATGCCAATTATATGAAATTGTGAGTTGTAGTAAAAAGGATGCATACATATGTTTAGAGAGGATAGAAGTATTTTTCATGTGTATTTCCAAATATTATTTTGAGTAACCAGTAAATCAATCACCAAGTTCATTGGATTTCAAATCCTAACTCTTATGCTTCCTTTTAGAATGAGGACATAAAAATAAGTTTCTGGGTTATGTAAATTGGATGACATGGGATCTATGAAGACTGGAGGGGAGCAAAATTATACATCGTGGCAGGAAATGCATGGGCCTTATAAATAAATGTCATGTTATTGTCTCTTTTCCTGAATTGTGAAAATACATTACCTGGGAAAGGTAATAAAGCTTATTCTGAGACAAAAGACCTTAAGTTGAGGTCAGAAATTGCTTTTCTACCTTCAGGGTCATAATAAAGTGATTGATGAAGCAGGTGCTCATTTCTTGTTTATGATTGTTTTTATGTGCCACAACATACTTTTACTCATTTTCCCCAAATGGTATATTTGTGAGTCTGAACCTTTCTAGCTTCTTGCCATCAAAAAGAAAATAATACTTCTGCTTGCATCAGTCTTATCCCACTATTACCTTAGAAAAGTAGGTACTATTCCTGAAGTGATGAATACTGTGTTTTTCGATTTCCCTCACAATTTCCTAGAACATTTCAAATCATGAAGACACTTGCTACAGGCCCATTAGTATCGAAGGGCGTGTCTATACTAACTGTCTCTACCTGACCCATTCTGGTCAGCTTGAGCAATCTAAAACATAGATATTAACTTAGCTTAGAGCAATGGATATGTCTTATAATAATACAAGGCAGAAACAATAGCACAGAACTGGTGTGCAATAATAAGCAGAGAGAATCACATATATTTCCTCTGATTAAATAGTTACTATTAAAACCAGGGCCTTCTAGAGCAATCCTTTGTAAACATACATGTAGCATTGTGGTCTCTTCCTCTGTTACTAAAATAAACATCTAGAATTTGATCCCTGTCTTACAAGGAGCATAAAGGCCTTGAGTGTTTTTAACATATCACTGAATAATGTATTGCTGAGTTGTTGGTTCATAGAAGTAAACATTAACTTAGTGTACAATATTATTTCCATGCATTTGTTATTGCCCTATATATCATATTTCAATAAATCAAATATTCATCACATCTAGAGAAAGCGTAGTGTTCTTGATTTTAAATCAGCTCATATGTCCTTGTTCTGTTCATACAACTTCCTCTTGATCCATTAACAAGTTCCACAAGAGCACAGGGAAGTGTGTGGAATTCCCACTTTTTCTAAGGCTACCCATAGTTTGTTTGGCACTCTGTTGAATGCCTTTACATTGTCAATGAGATGCAAGTAAACATATTTCTGTTATTCTCTGCTCTGAGCCAAGAGTTATCTGATGCCAGTAACAATATCCCTGGGGCCACATCCTGTGCAGAAGATCATCCCACCAGGGGTTCATTGGATTTCCTTGAAGACAGATAGATATAACCCTATCACAGACAGCAATGTACTTCAAGATTGATTCTGAAATGTTCTCTTTTACAATGAATCCAACACCCTTCCTCTTGATTGTGTTATTTCCAGCATAGTAAACCTTATGACTTTTTGATTCTAAGTGAAGACTACTAGTCCATTTCAGTTCACTAATGCCTAGGATATTAAGTATTTCATTTCAGTTTTGACAACTTCCAATTTTCTTACATTCACCATAGACTGCCAAAGACATCTCAATTGGTTTAAGTGACACAAATTTGCCTGAAAAAACTCAACTTGAGTAAATGTTCAATGGGTATCAAATCAAGTGTGTTCAGGTTAGCTGTAAACAAAAGCAAAGTTTTCTATGGAAACATAAACAAGTGTGATCAAGATCTGAAGTGTTTCTTCAAAGAACTGTTAACATGAGATGTGAAAAAGTGGCCTCAACAGTACAATACTAAAGAAAGCTCACCATCAAAGCAATGACAAGCAACAGGTGAAGTAGTCCATTCAAAGCAAATCGTACCCATTGAGAGAAGAGAAGATGGCAACAAGGTTTTGTTGGATGCTTGTTATTGTTTCTGACTCTCTGGAAGACCAAAGAATGATGACATCTACTTATGAGAGTGTTTTGTGAAAATTAGCCAAACTTAGACAATAACTGGTGAACCTTCACTAAGAGAGCCTTCTCTACCACGACAATTCTCCTTCTCATTCCTCTCATCAAATAAGGGTAATTAAGACAAGGGTTCAAAGGAAATCATTACACATACATCGTAGTCTAATTTGGCTCTAATTTTTTTTGGTTCTTACTATTAAAAATATGTCTTAAAATGGCACCAATTTTCCTTCACTTATAATGTAGAAAAATACTTCATTGATATGGTTAGAATCCCAGGATGCTCAGCTCTCCTAAGGGTGGACTAAATGGTTGGTATGATGGCTTGCAAAGGTCTCTTGAACGTCATAAGGATTGTGTTGAGAAATAAATAAAATTTTATTTTAGTTTTTATGTTTTAAATCCATTTTCCCATGAAATTTTAAAAACTCTCTCGTGTATATACACATATGTGCATGTATACTCACAGTGCACTTCCCCCCATGCACAGGGAACTTTACTATTTTAATAAATCATTTTATTAGGGCTCTTACAACTCTTATAATAATCCATACATCAGTTGTATCAAGCTCATTTGTGCACATGTTGCCATCATCATTTTCAAAGTATTTTCTTTCTACAGCTCCTCTTTTTACTCACACCCAGACCCCCCACCCCCATGTACCCTTGATAAATTATAAATTATTGTCATTTTCATATCTTACACCTTCCACTTTCTCTCTCACCCACGTTTCTGTTGTTCAAACCATGGGTGTGTATGTTATACATTGATCATTGTGATTGGTTCCCTCTTTCTCCTCTTCTCCCCCCACCTTCTCTCTACCCTCATAATATTGCTACCCCCATTACTGTTCCTGAGGGGTTATTTATTCTGGATTCCATGTGTTGAGAGCTCTTATCTGTATGATGTACCTGCTCCTGTCTAGCCAGACTTGTCAGGTAGAACTGGGGTCATGATGGCGGTGTGTGTGCGTGTATTAAAGAACTAGGGGAATGTTGTGTCGTCGGTTCTATACCGTGACCCTGGCTGACTCATCCTTTCCTGTGACCCTTCTGTGAAGGAATGTCCAATGACACGGGATTTCAAATAGTTGACTAGAAAATTTCATTTATTTCAATTCCATTTTCCAAAGTTTTTGAAGCCCTCATGTGTATGTGTGTAGATTATATATGATTGTGTATGTATACTCATACATCTGAATTGTTTCCTGTTTAGGAACAAAATTTATAATTGTCATACTTCCCAACAATTGCATGCGTGGATGCAGTACAGTGAATTATTTAGGATGGTATTTCTAACCAGAGTCTGTGTAATTTCCACCAAATGATTTTTCCCTGATGGGGCTGGGTAAAAAGGTGGGGGCAGATACGATACTGATTGGTTCAGCTGTTATCAGGGTTAATTGTGATTGTCAGCGTGATGGGTATAAAACAAGCCATTTCAGAAGCAGTAAAGGACATTTCCACTACTCATAAAGGAGAAGAGTCCAGAGCTGAGTGTGATCTTTGAACCACCTTGTTCACAACTTTGAGACCAGCTTTGAGACCAGAGGAGTGGCAGAGCAGCAGTGATAGAAAAACCAGCAGCCAGAGCATGAGACATCTGCATTTGAACATTGGATATTGAATAAGGAAGACCGTAGAAAAATCCATGCATTTGGAATGCTGTGCTGGAGAAAAAATTAAAAGCACCATGGACTGCTAATAGGACAAACTGCTCTGAGTTGGAAGAAGGAAATTCAGTGGGCTCCTGAGAGGCAAGGATGGCCAGAGTTCATCTTACAGGAGACCAGTCCCGGGAGAAAGATGTCCTGTTTGGCAAAGTGGAAGGGCAGCATAGACGGCCCTCAATGAGGTGGATGGACACAGTGACTGCGTGAATGGATCAGGCACAGTAGCGATTGTGAGGATAGCCCAGGGCCATGCACAGGGTTGCTATGGGCAGGAACCGATTTCATGACCCCTAACAACAACAACAAGTCCCATAATCATGAGTGTCAGCTGTGAGTTCAATGTGATCAAGTGTATTATGATTGAATTCAACCTCAGAGTGTTGGGAGGGCTGGTTATTATCAGAATCTGCCAGAATGGGTAACAGGGATGACAAGTAGAGGCAGGTCTGCTGAGTGCACAGGAAGTGAGATGTGGCCCTCATGTCTGTTCCGCCCTGGGAATTTATCCCAGAGAAATGAACATGTATGCTCATCCCAAATTATGTACATAGTGTTTACAGGAGCTTTAAATATAACAATTGGAAACTGGAAATAAGTTAGATGGCTTTCA